TCCACAATTGCTAAAATGTACAATAGGGGAAGAGTTTCAGTGTGAAATTGTGCTCATAAAATACATAAGAGTAATTTTTTAAAATTTAAATATGTATTTCCTAACTTGTCTCTTAAGTTAATTTATATTATGTTTTTATTCTATCCAAGGTGCCTAGTCATGCTGAAAAAATATATGTCTTTGTTTTAGCTGGTGACTGTTCTAGATTCACTTCTATTCACTTAGGTTTACAAGGATCTATTTTGTCAATTTTTCGAAAAAATCTTCATCAAAGAAGATATTAAGATAGAAGAATTTGAGAATGCCAAATAGGTTGAAAATTTTAATGGTAAAGGAATTAACCACGTTTTTTTCTTGTCCTGAAAGACCACAAGATAATATAAATAAATAATAGAACATTGGTAGATACCTCAAGGACAGTGTGAGCAAAAAACAGTCTTCCTAATTATAGAAGTAGTGAATGTCGCCTGTTAAATATTCAATACGACTTTGATTAGATGAATGATCATGAAGACTTTATGTGAATCGTAACAGATAGAACGTCAAATCCTCTATTCAAATGATTTTTTGCTAAAACCGTTTGAATGACAACGTTATGGTTTGATCAAGCTTTGAAAAAAATGAAAAACTTGATGCAAAGACTCATGAAGAGATCTTCCTAGTTTATTTTGATCATTAAAAGGCTCATAGAGTTTACAATAATATAAATGGTTTTAGAGGGATTCATTTTCACATTATATAGTAAGAAAAATGCAATTGATAGATTTCAAGAAGAAGTTTGGAGGATTTACTAGAAGCTGATGCTCTAGATATTTTGTGAATGAGATGGGAAATTCTCAAAATTAGACAAAAACTCAGAAGTTGAGAAGTTACGAAATGATAGCTAATTTATGAAGGACCATTTGAAAGAGCATCTTTTGAGAAACATTGATGAGGTAATAAGCATTGGATCATTGATGAGACCTGATAATCTTGTAGTAGCATATGAATTTATAATATGACCCAAATATGTTGAGTAAACATTAATCAATTGAAAATTTGAAATTAGGTATGCATGGATAGCTTGATCAACTTCAATACAATGATGCTTAGTTCAGGGAACTAGACCCATCACTTTTATTAGTTACACAAAGAAAAAATTCTCAAAAATAAATTTAACAAAAAAGGCTTTGATGAAAGAAACAAAGAAACACTTTTTAATCAAGGGTACACCAAATGAGGCATTTATTACAATGAAACTATTGACCAATTGTGAGATTATGAGATTATGCTTTTATTTATTACCTATGCCAACATTATTAACATTTTCAAATAAACATGAAAAGTCTAGTTTAAAATGACATTATTAAAGAAGAAGTTTTTGAGTATCAACCTTATATCAAAGCAAAAATTTATGGGTTTATGGGTTTACATCAAAGCAAGGGATGGCTCTTTATGTTTAAATCAATCTAGAAAAGCTTAGTATGACTTCCCTTTGTTTTAATGATATTGCAATTGGTTTGATCAATGAGAAATAATGCATTATACTTTTGAATTTTACAAAAACAAAATGTAAAATTAGTATGATGGGAGATCTCTTTTATTTCTGAATTTGAAAATCGAGCACCAAAATGATAGAATATTTGTCTAAATCGAAGTACACCAATAAACTAAAACACTAAATGAACTTTAGATAGGAATGCAAACCTGTTGAGCAATAGTCAGCTCATCACTACACTTAAGAGCCTATTGATGTACTATCCTTTTTAGCATTTATCTTTGCTCCCATTTTCAAAGTAATATAAATGAATGTTATTTGATAGTTGTGAAATACATTTTATTTTATTATATTAAATAACTTAATTTAAAATTTTGTATTGCAAAAAAAAGAATTAAAGCCATTTGAATATCATGAATATCACTTTGATCATGATAGACTTTACAAGACAATCACTAGTAGTTATTTATTTTTTTGGGAAAAGATGTCTCATATCTTGGTTTTCTAAGAAGGAAAAACTTTTTAATACATATTGGAAAAACTTTAGATAGGAAAAGTTGTGATCAAAAGTATGTTTAGGCAAAGCCATATTTTGAGTTTAGGTCAATGACTCACTACATATTGGTTTCATTGTAGGCTAAATTATATATCAAGATGGGTGAATAGGCTTAATATTTAATTTTATTATTTTTGAGTGATTACAAATAGTTTCTATCAATTTACAGCATTTCTAGTTGACACAAAATTTCCTAGGTTGGCAGAAAAAGTATTGGGTCAAAGAGATTATGAGGAGGACATAGTGGGTCAATATATTGACTAGTTGGATGGGTTACCACATTAATTGGCCTAACTAGTTCAATAAACTGAATCAACACAAGAGGCAACATACTAAATTTTGGTAAATGTTGCATATATATATATATATATATATATTTGTAGTGGTTCAGTTTTTCTCTAGATGTCCTATGTCCAAGGATCTATACCCATACTTTTTACTATTCTAGTTTAGCGATAAATATAATTGAACTTTATGATACTAATAAAGTTCTCATACAATTGATTTCGTGTATCTTTTACCCCCCACATTAAACATGAAAGTACTACCTTGCTTTCTACCCTTGTTATATACACTCCCCTTGAGTGTTTTCATGTAAGAAACAAAGTTCAATGAACTTATATGATGTTATGATACTAAAATGATAGTTTTTTCATTTGTGGTGATAATTTGAGAGTTTTAAGAAGTTTGGGGGCACAAGAAAATTATAATAAATTTTAAAAGTGGGTTTCAAGATGTGTAGAATGACATGATTCATTATTGAGGCACCATTTAAAAGCTCTTTTAAAAGACTATTTATGTAATCGTTGAAGATCAAATCTTTGAGATATGATCAGTCAAAAATTGTATGAATCGATATGTGAGTCGACCCACTATTATACAACATAGTCAGATTGCTATTAAGCTAACAATTCAACTAGATTTCAATTAAGTCAACGTGTTAACATATCAAACAGATTTGATAACATATCTTTGATATTCTGATCGATTATGATGCATCATTCTTGTTACAGATTTTCTACCATATGTCAAATTTTCTTCCATGTCATGTATCAAATCATGTAGATAAAATCTCATTTTTCTTTCTCTTAGTTATGCTGACCTTTTGGTAGACACACCCTTTTGCCAATCACTACATCTATCTTTCCTTAGGTCAAAAAATATTTTAGTGAGTTGACGCATAAGTGAACACACTTTCTCATTCCTCTTATTTTTCTTATAAAGAATTTTCTTTCTCTTTTTCTCTGATTTGATTTATATTGATGCATATATATGTCTTCACATATTTTTTCTTCATACGAGGCTTAAAAAATATATTTATGCAAAAACCAAAACTAGATATGATGTTTCAGATCTTAATTGTTGGGTTAATGTATGCAAATATATTTTAGAATAATTTTTATTTTATCTTTATATGATTAATTATTAACATCAAAATCATAATGCCCAATAGTACACAATGACTGGTTCATTAGACCAACTAGATCAGTGATTTTGTAGTTGACTAGGTAGAGTTATGAATATAATAGTGGAAGGACAAGTTGACACCTTATTGCTCAACATTAGAGGAGTAGAGTCAATGAGGAGTTAAATCACTAGAAAAACCTTTGAACTCTTCTCCTAGTTGCATGAGAATAATAGATTATATAGTCTTTATTTTTATGCTAACTTATGTGAATTAACTATGTGAACTTTATAACACAAAAGAAATATTTTAGAAGCCAAATATAGCTGAAAAAATAAAGCTAATAAGACAAGAATCGATCCATCAAAGTTGCAAACTAAAAATTATTGACAATAAATGATCATGTGTATGTGTCACTAAGATGAAAACTGTTCACCCCTTCAGGTCAACCCCTTCCATCTTGTATAATCACATGGAAGCAAGATACATGGTGGAAAGCATAGAGGTTGACTTGATCTTGTACTTGGTGTAATTTATTTTAATTTATGCTTAGTAAGTTTCCAGTTATGTAAACTTAATCTATCATGGAAATTTTTGTCACTACAAAGCATAGTTGTCTCTAGTTAATAGTCAACCCACCATAATACACAAAGGCATGAGGAGTTGACTCCATTAGAGATTAGCCTAAAACCAGAAAAATGATGTGGTCTTACTTGATTTTCTATTACACCAGTTTTTACTTCTGAACCATTTTTTTAGAGTGATATAATTCATCCCCCTAACATGTTCCTAATTTGTGTTTGTATGCCTATGCTTCCAAGAATTATGATAAATAATTTTTATTCTAAGGCTTAGTTTTGATGTCCAAGTCAATGACTAATTGGGCTGCATCTAGTGACCTTATCTCGTTGACATGTCTATTTTTTACCTCATCTCTTCATAGGTGGCCGTAAGTCAACCATTGGTTAGAAGACCTGAACTAGAGGCTTACTACTAAAAAGTCGTGGGGGTCTAAGTTGGGCCCCGCCTGGCCCATTTTGGTGCCCTTCTATGGCTCTGGGTTTTCTGGCCCAAAGCAGAAGATGAGCCGGACTTATTATTGCCCACAGTGGCTCACCGGCACCATAATCTTATGAATCGAAAGTAGATTAATATAAACGGGTGGTGATCTGGTCCGTCCGTTAAGGTCTGGGCCGCCCAGATCTGTCCTAACGGATGCTGCTCCTGCTATTGTGCGCCGGCATTCGAATGCCAACCGGAAACGATCAGCGTGTTCTCAACCGTCCGATTAGTGTCTCTTCAATCTGGCGAATCCACAATAAGTTTGGCCACATCTCTATCATCGTATGATAAATCCCGGATCTGCTTTAATTCCCTCGCCACGTACCCCAACCTCTCTCTCTCTCTCTCTCTCTCTCTCTCTCCGCCATATCTTTCGAGTGTCTCTCGGTCGGTCGCTGTCGTCAGTGAGGATCCCCTGAAAAACTCTCCCAGATCGGAGCAGTGGAGATTTCCGGATCACGCTTCTTACCGGGCTTCCAGTGTAGTGTTGCTCATCGGCCATGATTTCCACCAGCAAACTCAAGTCCGTCGATTTCTACAGGTCGGAATCTCTGTCTCCATCGTCTGCACCGGCTTGGTATCTCTCTCTGTTTTTACTATCTCCGGGTGGACGGCTGCTTTGACTGGGCGATAGGGACTTCTGGATCCGGTGTTATCGTGCATTGCGTATTTTTCGATTTCAGTTCTATGGACTTATTTGTGACTGCTCAGTGTAGTGAGCTCCCGTTTAGCATGTGCTCGTTTTCTTTTCTTCTTTTTGTTTGTTGGTTCAATCTGCGGCCCGGGGGAGAAACTAGTAGATGGGTGCCATCCCTTCAGTTTGGGTCCTTGACTTAACCAGTCAATTGGCGTCCTGCGTAGAGGCGGCTTTATGGATGACATTATAACGATGCCTTGCTTTCGTGCTCTGTTTCCTGAAAGTCTCCTTTCTATCTGGTAGCCGTCCATTTGGTTCGCTTGCCAATGCTGAGTTTGTAGAAACCAGAGACGCAGATGATATCGTTTAAAGCAATTGCTCGTTTTTTGGACACTTCACACTTTTGATCCGATGTTTCTTTAGGATTTTTGACTTAAGCGTGTATATGACAGGAAAGACATCAACAATAAGTTCACTAACTTGCCTGGTGCTTGTGATGCGAACTTTTCTGGAAATCACTACGTTCTAACTGTCCCATGAGTGTTCCAATCATACTATGTCGTATTTATTAGTAGATGGTAGTATATATTCATCAAACGTGATGATAATTAAATGGTTCCACATGGACAACACATAATGGCAATTACCCACAAGCAACGGTGAAATAAAGCGATAAAACCCAACACAGGAAATAAATAGACAAGATTTATGTGGACAACTCATGAAGAAAAACCATGGTAGAAGAGTGATATTTAGCAGCATAGATCATGATACTGATTACATCAACCCTTCCCCATCTTTCACAAGGAAAAACGTCCCCTACAACTGATGTCTGCCTTCTTTCCATACTTTGATCTCTAAATTGGGATTAGGCTTTATACATTTTTCTCAAAGACTGAACTACACCCACTTATCAGGGAATTATCATTAATGGCTTGTTCTTCGGGCATTGCTCCAAAACCTACATCTAGACTGGCCATGGCACCCATGCCATTACCATGTTTCAGCAAGAATTCAAGGCACATGTACAACATACCTAAAGATCATGGGTTTCTTGGCGCCCTGCTTTCTTTTGTTAGCTGAATACCATTTTGTTTTCATCGTCATTAGTTTTTATGACAGTCACAGTGTAGCCATATGGAATTAGATCAATTGAGACGACATTTTGCATCATGAAACAAGTGTCTTCTAGTAAAAAGCAAAGACCTGTCAGCAGAATAAATCATATGGCATTTACTTGACAAACGACCACTGGTTCTACCTGGAAACAAGTAGGCTCATATTTCCTATCAAAATAGTGTTTGAATGCATTACAAGTTGGACTTTGTTTTTGGGTTACTTTCATAAGAAGGTCGTGATCCTGGTTCCAAATATTGCCACCCTCTAGTATTCCTTCAACTGCACTCTACAACCACCACTGCTGATACTAGCCATGATGATTTTTTGGTGAGTGACTTCCAACTACCAGTTCCAATTCGTGATGCTTTTGGGACGAAGTTAAATCTTATTTTCATTCATATCTGTAAAGTACCTTTTAAACTTTAGAAATCATTATACTCCTTCTCTATCATAAAGTTGGTCGATTGTATTTTACTTTTTCGTTGTTATCTGATGTCAGAAATTCAATAGATGCCAAAATGTGTGTATACCACTCTTATCATCATAGAATGCCAAACTTCTTCCAGTCTTCCAATGGTACTTTGATGACATTTTGTGAATATCCATCACCTTAGATATATTTCCCTATTGGAATGGAGTAGACAAAGATTAGTTGAGGTGAGTAAACCTTTGTAATCTTTTCGCAGAGAGCTTCTTCCTATTGTCCTGTATCTACTACCATTTTGCCATAAGTAGTTTGTTACATATATCAATCTTCAGAAAGTGGCAACATTTGGGCAAAACATACTGTTGAAGGCTGGCCCCAGTATTTGGCAAAATAATGTTTCTCTGAATATTTTTTTTACGGAATCGTTTCATTAGCTACTCGTTGTCATTTCGCTCAAGATTATTGTCAATATTTTTCGAGCAATGTTGCTTATGACCTCTATTATTGTCTTCTTAATTGCTTCTGGATACTGATATATCTTCCCTTTCTTTTTTCTACACAGGAAAATTCCTAGAGATTTAACGGAGGCATCACTTTCAGGAGCTGGTCTCTCTATAGTAGCAGCACTTTCCATAATGTTCTTGTTTGGAATGGTAACATTATGCTCATAGTTGTTGTATGTAAACTGGCTTAATGCTTTTTATTAGAAGCAATGCATCGAAACCCCATCTTTTCTGTATTTTTGGCCATTTTACATGCAATGTAACTCTTTTCCCAGCAGTGATCTTCACACTAGTGTTAGTCAATGTTACTTCTTATATTTCGTGGTTATTGGTAAGTCTTAATTTCTATTATCCCTAGAGAAGTTCATTAGTTTCTTCTTTATCAGGAGTTGAACGACTATTTGACAGTGAGCACAACTACATCCATTGTTGTTGACAAGAGTAGAGATGGAGAATTCATGCGCATTGATTTTAATATAAGGTAAGGGTTTCCTGTTTTTCATGTTATTTCTGTAACGTTTTTCTCTCATGTTTGGAAAATTAGGTTCCCAACTCACTTGTTTTATATGCTTCAAATGTAATGAGCTGGAAATCTGAAACAAAGTTTGACTAGTGGAGAAACTTGCGGTTTCTTTCTTTCCTAAATTAAGCCAATGAGATTCTCTTCCTATTTCCTTTTTGATCTTATGCAGGAATCCTTAATTCGGGTTGGAAAGCGTCTGAGATTCCCAGACTTTTTGAGACAGATTATCAGTTTGAACCTCTGACAAATGCATTTACAGTGGTTGACAAAAACTTGTTTTGAAACTACTAATGATACTAGTGCTATTAATCTAAAGATCCGTTTCGAATGATTAATTACAATAAAACTTATTGGATTTGTGAATTTTCCATCAAGGAATTGGACATCTCACTGTTTAGCAATAAAAATGGGCTTCAAGATTTGGAGCTAGATTGTTTATTAATTTTAGCTAACCAAGCCCTAAAAGTAGTGGTAAGGCTAGATTTATATAAAACTTCCTGCCAATTTTAGTAACTTACTATACTTCAGTTTTGAGTAAATGAGAGTGAAGGAACCTATAGAAGTAATTGCGTTTGATCCTAAATATTATGATGATGTTTTATGAGGGTATGTTGTTTGTGGATGCTTTTCTTCAGTTGGGGGTATGATGTTTTACTAACTTCCTGCCAATTTAAGTAACTTACTATACTTCAGTTGATCGAATAATTTCTGTCACTAGTTACACATGTTACCAGGGCAACTTAGCTTATTTTGCAAGTTTGACTGCGTTGTTGATATTTTTTGTGTATCTGAATTTCTTATAGGTTTTACTTATTTTGGTATTTTGTCCAATCTTATGTAGCTTTCCTGCGCTTTCATGTGAGTTCGCATCTGTTGACGTGAGCGATATTCTGGGAACAGTAAGTTTTCTTTCTTCTTTCATCTCTATTGTTCTACTCAAAAGTTAAGAAAATTGGGTTTATTTTTTCAAGTTCTTTCATTATTCGTTTTATAACTAGAACTATTTTGTTAACCCATCTTGTTTTTTCTTTTGAAATCTTTAAAAACCATTTTCTCGTTTTTTTAGAAACTCTTAGAACTACAAGGTGTTATTGGTCTTCTCTAGGAAGGTGTTTTATTTTATGTTACATATACGCTTACCTAGTGAGGATTTATTGGTGTTGACTTTTTGTAGATTCCTCATATTCTAGTATGATATTTGAGCTGTACGCTTTTATATGGCGTTTTGTCAAGACTTCATTCCTAGTCCCATTTATTATCCCTTACAAATATGGATCAATCACATCTTTAACTGTCAGTTTTTTCTCAAGTTACAAGATTGCAGCTTGTTTGCATATTCAGTCGTCTTTGTGTTTGAGGAACAATGCCTAGGTGACAAGGTGATCCAGATGCCCAAGTCATAAGAACCACCTAGATTAGCAACAGGAACACCCAAGTCATAATGTTCTTATTGCCATATGACGTGATGCGTATGTTTATCTCGCATGATAGAAGTTGTGTCCTGCAATGTGAACAGCGCATCCTTTCATTTAAAATATTTAATAAAGACATTATTTTATTTAATATAATAGTTATTGAGTGTTTATATGATTTTTTATAGTTCATAACTTATCAATTTTAAAATTAGCTGATGTTTCACATCTTTCCTATTTAATGGAATAGCATTTATTTTTTCATTTTAAAGAGACAATACCCAGTCACCTAGGCATGAGGTGGTATATAGCACCTTATTGCTATAAAAGCCTTGAAGGGTACCAATTTGTTTTTGGTGAGTTCTAGTCGGAATTCGTGGATGTGGTTTGGATGTTTAATTCTAGTGAGTTCAGGATTTGAAAGCGGGCCTTGACATCCTTTTAAGGCCTCTAACCATTGGCTATGGTAACGTGTTGTCTTTTGTTGATACTACCCTGCCATCTTTTAGTGATGACTGTTTTCTTGTTTGTGAATGCGATTAGTGGATAATGGGCAATGTGCTTGTTGATACTACACTGCCATTTTTTATGATGCACTGGTGTCTTGCATTGCTTACCAGAGTGCACACATCATCTTAGCATGTTTATGACAATGTTCTGGTGGCTTGCATGGAAGCCCTTGTCTTGTTAAAACGAGATAAATTAATGATCTGATTCTTTCATCTATGCACTTTCCATTTTTTTTCCTATTTCAGTCATGGTCTTTTATGTCTGTTCTCTTATCTCGACACAAGAATTAGGTACATAACACCTGTTCATCTTCTACGTGCAGAATCGGTTAAACATAACAAAAACCATTCGCAAGTTTTCAATTGATCCCAATTTGAAACCAACTGGGTCAGAGTTCCATGCTGGACCAATTCCCATTTTGAATAACCATGGTGATGAGATTGAAGAAGAATATGGTGAAGACTCAGTCAGGCTAACTGGACGCACTTTTGATCATTATTCACATCAGTAAGCCGCCATAGCCATGCTCATATTTGTGCTCTATCATGCTTTCGGTGTTATGTTTATGAGCTGTGTTTAGTGATGGTTATATTATCCAGTATTATTGTGGATTATGTGGATCGCCTCATAGAAGAAACTTCTCATAGTATATGGGATCAGTGGAAAAACCATGGTAAAGCTAGAACACTACCATTCTTTAGTCTCTAGTCTTGCCCTACAGCATATGGATCTAACTGAATAGATGTCATTCACCCACGCTCCCCCCCTGAAAAAAAATCTCATTCATCTTTGGGGGCCTACTTGGTACTTGATGGAACTCTTGATTGGTCAAAATATTTAATAATACCTCATCTGATAGGAGGTAATGGCGGCTGGACTTCAGCTTTCACACTTCTGCTACTACCTTTTGAGATTTTCCGTTGATGATCATACTCCACCATGCATCCCTTGCCTACACTGCTATTTGACCGATAGGATCTGTTAAGGTCTCCAAAGAGATAAGGCCCACTCCGCCTGCTATGTTGCTTTGACAAACTTTCTTTCTATTAATATCCCTTGCTCTTTCGTCATCCTTTTCTTGAGAGAAATGAAAATTGAATACTTAATATTCTATTTCTCCTCATTTTTGGCGTTTTGAAGATGAAGAGCTGGTATAGAATCTGTTTGTGGTTTAGCATCTGTAGATTTTTCTTATTTTGAATGTCTGGCCTCTCAAGATTTCCTATTGAATAATACAGAACTTGATCCACATGGAGATGGTGAGAAGACTGGCCTTAGAAAAGATATTTCTTTAACTGTGAGAACTTTCTATGGATATAGAACATATGAAACTTATGCCGTCCACATGAAAGATTGTAACATCATTTTAAGAGGCTTTGGTAACATTTTTCATGGTAAGCCTTCAAATGAGGCATGATAGAAGGAGAGACGGAGAAAATTTCGCTTAACTATAGCTGGAATTGTCCATAGTTGCAACAAATGTGAGGAAGAGGCTGATATGGCATGGAGATGGGAATACAACGGATTCTTGTATTAATTTGTAGAGTGCAGAAAATTACTATGGATGATATTCATGATTCAATGGAAAATTGCACATGATAGAACGAGACAAGAGAAATCCTCGAGAAATTCAATCAAGCTAAATGGATAAGCGTATTTTCTGTAGCTTCTCAGCATAAACCTTTGGCCTCTTCTATATATTAAGTTATTCAACGGATATTGATATGAGTGGTTATGTCTCTATGCTTCCAATGGGAAAATATCAACGCTGCAATAAAAATGTTGCTGTGCTACACCTGTAGACTTGTTGACTCCAAAAAAAAGAAACTGAATACTGATTTCATAGAAGGAATGGATGTAGATCTCATGAGATCTGAGCTTCTCAATATCCTTAGTACACCAGTCAAGATTGTGGACTGTTTCAATGGCTGGCATAGCAAATTCATACGGCTTACCCATGACACTGAGAATCAGATTAACTTTTCAGGATTCCCTACGTCAGTACTTATTCCTTTTCAGCACACTCTATCAGCTTCATGAAATAGTTCAGGAATTTAGCTTTTCTTAGATAACTTAACTAATTATATTTATATAATTATTGTTCTTGTTTTTTCTCCGTTTATTACCCTCAGTCCACCGATCTCGCAGATCTGATCCCACTCTGGAGCGAATTAGCCAAGCCTAACGAACCAATCAGTCTTTTCTAGGTCTGGTGTAACCTACACGGAAAGTGGATAGTGGGATTTGATTTCTTATCCTTTATCTCTCTAGGCTATTTGGACAGGGAGGAACGGGCATAATGTGAGAAGGGATAACTTCTCAGCCATTTGTGCTTTCAATTGGGTATGTGAGTAGTTCATAGAGTTATGGAGTCTTTTCTATAATGAAAAAGGTGATAAGTTTATAATCTGGTGTATTCAGCTTCTAGTATGGTCTACATCTTGATGTGAGAAGTATGGGTGTCTGGGAGTTTATGGAAAACACAGCGTACATCTACTTTCCAAATTCTCCTTATATTTGTTTCTCTTAACCATAGATGCCTGGAAAGTGAGGTGCTGGTGTGTAAGCAATGTGCAATATACCCCCAGGTTTATCAATAATGATTGAGTTTCCTCACTGACAAAAGAAAAATTTGTGTGAATTTGGAATACCTTAACGGTATCACGAACATCTTTTGTTTCGTTTTTCTTTTGCATGAAATGTGAAGGAAAATCAGTTGGTTTTAATAGTTGCTGCTTATCTCACCGTGGTCTTGATAAAATGTAATAGATCTTTTCCTATGTTCAGTTGGATATAATTTGTATTTAATGGTTAAAATTGCATGTTCTGATATAATATAATGGATAATGTTTTGCGAGCTATCCATCACTTAGACTCTAGTTAGACCCTGCTCCGTTTTTGCGAATAAATGTGTCCTAAATCTCTGAGGACGTGTTAATGGGCGGTAATAATGAGTTTATCTGGTGGCCTTTGCTTCATTGAAGATGTGATGAATTTATTATTGAATTTTTATGAGGATGATCGGCATTTTTAGTTGGCCATGAACTCTGGGAAGTTCAGACATCTGCAAGAGCTGCTCAGTTTTTGCTGGGCAGTACTGGTTTCATAGGCTCCACAATGACTAGGATAGTGGCAACCATAGTGACGTCACTGGGAACTGTGCTCTGTGATAGTATGGTCGTAGATCTAGATCTCCATTGTTTTCTATAATCATTAACTTTTCACGTACATCATCACAGATATGGGCTGCAGTCTGTATTTGACCACAAACATGGAACAGGTTTTCCATTTTTGTAAACATCTTGCATGTGATTCCTTACGATATGAATAATGATATTCAAGTATGTTAAATCATGGTCTATGAACGCTGGCATCCTTAAAAGATCGTTTTCTTAAGTGATTTAATCAATTTTCCATCTTAATCTCTTAAAAATTTTCGAGCACAGTTGGAAATGTATGCTTTTCCATCGAAAAAGGCATTATATATTGAAAGCTTCTGTTATACCACTTTCGTTGTTATAAATAGCATTATATTATTCTGCTAATCGACTGAGATACTTTTGCAGGCATGCAATATTGGTTGTAAACTTTTATGCACCTTGGTGCTATTGGAGCAACCGCTTGGTAACTAGTGCTCATTTTTTCATCTCTTGTTTATTATAAAATGTTTCATCATGACAGATTAGACTTTTTAGTCTGCATATTATCTTGCCAAGGAAACTTCTAACAGTTTGAGCAATTTGTCATCTAGAAATTTGACAATAAAATTGCTTGTTCTCTGTTGATACTTATTCTAATGGCTGGTTTGTCTGTGAATAGTTTGCCTGAAAAGGATGTTTTATTTTCGTCAGGCAAAAATAATAAACTCTCCTGTGGGTTTCGTGCCAGTGCTATCTAAAGCATTCCTTTGGGGAAATGTTTTTATCTGCTGAATCAGCATATTTGAGAGTAGAAAGGATGATCTGGGAAAATAACATAGACGTAAAAAGTGAAATTTAAAGTAAGATATATTTTGCATAGTCATGATTGTTTTGATCTTCTCCTTCCTGCTCCACAAGTGACTTTTGAGGATGCAGTTTCCATGGCATAGGTTGGTGGGTGATGATGAGTAGTGACGGATGGTTGGGAGGGATGTCAGGGAGTGGGCCAGGATGGGCCTGGGCTTGTTGATCCATGTTATCAGGGGGTTATTGATCTGATTTTTCAAATCGTGAAGTTTTCTCGATTGGCTGCAGAGACTGATTTGCAGGTTGGTCCCTTAGATGACGAAAAAATGTATCCGAAAATTCATTTTGAGAGAAAATCTTTGCTTGCCTACTCAATGTTAATGGGACTTCGAAATTTTGAGAACCTGGTCTGAGGTAATCTCTGACCAACATGTCTCTGACATGTGTCAGTGGTGATACGTTCTGATGACAATCGGTCCAATGTAAAATCATTTAGGTCACCCTGACATGTGTCAGTGGTTAGAATCTTGAAAAACCATCATGAATTGTGTGACTTAGTTCAAATTCGACCCAGTCTTGGACGAGGCAGACACGAAGAGAAAGTGGTAAAGTATCATTTTTCATGATCTCCTTTTTCTCCTGCTATTTTTTTTCTTGATCTTCTTCGTCATTCCCTACTTCTCCTCTATTCTTCTTTTTTACCCTTCAATTGATATAATGTGATTATTCATTTGCGGAGTCATAAAATATGGAGGATGTATAGAAATCAGTCTAGGCATCTGTAGGAATGTATTTCCGTGCCATTAATATTCAGTGAGTGTGTAATTTTGTAATTTCTCTTTCCAGAGGCCCTCATGGGAGAAGGCATCTAAGATTATCCGAGAAAGGTTATTTTCCCAAGCATTATGCCAATCCCCTATTACATGATTTTCTTAACGCTTTTTTTGTGTGGATCGGTCACTTAGGCTTTAATTTTGCAGATATGAACCTGAAGTTGATGGACGAATTCTAATGGCAAAAGTTGATTGCACAGAAGAAGTTGAACTATGCAGGAGGTGTGCAGTATGTTAATAACGTTTACTTTTTACCCACCAGTCCCAATCGTGTAGTTGTGCCTGAAGGCTGTTGTGGCAAGTCCTGATTCCGACTCTGCAGTCGTTTTTCTTGGACCACAGATATTGTGTTGCTTGGTCTCTCTTTCACACGACTTCTGTAAAAATGGCTGTTCATGAACGCCTAAAGAGACCAGAACCTACCTTGACTCTTGTGATTCTGCAGGAAACATATCCAGGCGTATCCATCTATCCGAATTTATCGAAAAGGTAGCGACATCAGGTATCTGTTCATTCCTTTACAGGCAATATTTTATCTTCACTTTGCCGTCTTTGGCCTGATTGTGATGGCATACTTCTCAATATTACACATTCGCCAATATAATTTAGTTCCGTACATTGGAGTATTTCTTACCAGTTTTATATCATGGAGATCATAACAACAGTATCAAAAGTACAAACATATGCTGTTTAATGTGGTAATCAAATTCTTCCATTCATCATGTACTTGGTAGTCGGCTGGAAGGTTCTTTGCTGAAGTCGAGAAATTTGTTGAAGCCCTTCGACCTGGTATCCTATGTCATATGCTGAATTGCAGGTAGCGCAGAGGCTGTGCCCTAGCAACAGGAGTGCAAATATTTGTGGGCTGATGATCCATCATGTTCTAAACGAACTCATGCAACCTGTTGTAGATAACTTTCCATTAACGTGTTGGATAGTTCCAAAATAGAAATTTCAAGGTGTTTTTTGTCATTTTTACTGGTTTTCTTCTTGATGTCGACCTCCTTCCAAACTGCACCAAGTTCTTCATTAAGATCCCTAGGTATAGGCACAATGTCTTCACGAATTTCCCCTAAGTCTAGTTCGGGATTAGGTAGAACAGGGCTACATCATTGGCTAATTCATATAGGTTCGCCCCTATTTACCTTATAATGTTCTAGAAGAAGAGGGAAATGGGTAAGTTTGATACGCAGTCAGAATGTGCTTTTTTTTTTTTTCTGCTTGCCTTTTCCTCTATTGAAATACATCTAACAACGCTCAGAAGTTGTCGGATTCTGTTCGTTGTAATATGCTTCGTTATTGTCTCAAACAGGGAAAATCATGGGCACCATGATCACGAATCCTACTACGGAGACAGAGACACAGAAAGCCTAGTTGCAGTATGTTAAGTCGAAACCTTCAATTATCTGTCTTGCTCTTCCTTCATAATTTAGCCTTGTTTATGAGTATAATGGTGATATCCTGAACTAAAAATTGCAGGCAATGGAGACATTGGTTGCTCCTGTTCCAATGGAATCTACGCTTTCCTCGAAAGATCAATCTAATAGCACTGCAGATAGCGCAAAGCGACCCGCACCGAAGTCAGGTGGATGCAGAATAGAAGGTTTTGTCCGCGTGAAGAAGGTGAGAAACATTTTCTTAATCAACCTCGAGTTTCATTGTTGTTAAGAACGCATACTCTGCACCTGCGTTTTTCTCTCTGTTCCCTCTGATAATGTTTATTTTCCTAATATCCCCGACTTTACCTGAATACTGGAACTGCTCATTTTCTTAAATAACTTATTAATATTTTTTTATTTACAGTAATGTCAACCATTTACTGTTTTGAGAAACCGTGCAGTATGCATTTTTTTTCTTCTCATGATTCAATTGCTGAACCCTTGTTTGACTTTCTGGATCATACTGAGAACAGCTAATATGTTTATGAACTCGAAGGAGCCTGATCCCTGCTGATTAATGGATGAGGGTCGGGCCAGTTGGCTCTGTTCAGGTCCCATGCAGTTCAATCTTACATCCTTAAAGCACGTTTGCTTTGTTTACAATCTCTTTTTTATACGGTTAATACCATTTTAAGTGTCTATTTTTCTCTTTCTAATTTACCCGTCTCATTCTTTCTAATTAAATCCTATATTTATAACTTTTCTCTTCTCTAATGAACAGTATCTTATATCTAATTATACAAATCACCGGTATTTTTACCCTAAGAACGGTGACCGCAAATATCCATATATATTATTTCAAAAATGTCTGAAACTCGATTGGCAGACGATGTCTTTATGTTTATTCGTTTCCCCCTCATACAATTGACACGTGTCAAAATCCTTATAGTCAAGTGAGCAATAGAGGGAGCGAGAGAGGGAGAAGAGGAGAGAGAGAGAGAGAGAGAGAGAGGAGAGTTAACGTAGTCATTTTGAATGGTCCTTGCCTGTTGCTTCCTTGACATTTTGTTTTTTCTTCATTTTCTAATGAAAAATTTGCACACATAATTTTCTTTAATTTTCCTTAATTATACATTATTACCAAAAATGCTTATGAAATTGTGTTGCCTTCATTGCTGCATGAGCGGGATTGTTACATCTGCCATGATCCGCAGCTTGTCACCATTGATGTACCCATCTGCTGTGCAGGTTCCAGGTAACCTTGTGATCTCAGCTCACTCGGGGGCCCACTCCTTCGATCCTTCTCAGATAAACGTGTCCCACTACATCTCACACTTCTCCTTCGGGAAGAAGCTCTCTGCAAGGACCCTCTCTGAGCTGAAGCGGCTCATCCCTTATCTCGGTGGAAGCCATGATCGGCTGGCAGGCCAATCCTACATGACCAGCCACGATGACACCAATGCAAATGTCACTGTAAGCAAGCAGACGCTCCTTGTCTCTTTCTCATCATCTCCTTCTGAATGGCCGAGACCTCATCACCAATCGGGATCAGCACCGCTTGGTCAGATCCCATCATCGCTCTCTGGTCGTTGACAAATTCGGTTTGGCAAGAATCTTAGGTTTGACTTTAGGGGAGCCCTCTTTCTGTTTTGTGGTTGACTTTGTCTCTGCATATCAGATTTCCTAGGCCTGGTTCTTGGCTGTTCCTATCTGGGTTCCTCTTAGTATCACTGTTCAAAGGTAGAGATCGCCTTCATTCATTCTGTTTGATCAAATCCTGGCCGCCATGTTAACGATTCTATTGTTTCATTTTGTATGTTTGACTTGATGGGCCTGTGATGTTAGCGTTGACATATTCGTTGACGACCCTGCAACGTTAGACTTGGATCCCTCCTGTCTTAATAACCTCAGATCCAGAAGAAGCTGCAATTTTACACCACGATGCTTCCAGTGATCCACTTGACTCTCTCTTCAAGAGTTGACTTTTTATGCATCGGGAACCTTAGTCATGCCTGTCGTCTATCTCCAATTCATGTTCAGATTTTTTTAAGACGCACTTTTGTCAGAGGAAACTTCATTCGACTGCTCTGGAGATGGGGAGTTATTCATAAATACATCTGGTCAACATTCTGATCCTCTTCCATTTCTACGAGTTAACCTACTATGGAGATTTGACTTATCCAACTGTCATTACACTCGGCTATGCTTATCCGGATTCGTTCACTATCTCGACATCTGCATATCAGTGTTCATCTGATAGGTGCTGACTTTTTAGTCTCCAAATCTCTCATGATATCTTTTTCTCTTCAGATTTTTCACAACACTGTAGAGTGCCCCAGCAAATTGACTGTTCTAGATATGACAAATCGGTCCTAACCGTGTAAAATCAATTATTTGACCCTCTTCCATTTCTTCGCGTTGACCTCGTATGTAGATTTTGACTCTTTGAATTTTTTTATTAAGAGACAACACCCTTTTTATTTATTTATTGCCATTAACAGAATATCATGCCGAAGTTACCCTTCCACTGATCATATCAACCCTAAATTATACTTAATCTGTGTGTGTTCATACTCTTGGCATCGGCAGATCGAGCATTATGTCCAGGTTGTGAAAACCGAGGTGATCTCGAGCAGGTACTCTCAAGAACACAAGCTCTTGGAGGAGTACGAGTACACTGCCCACAGCAGCCTGGTTCACAGCCTGTACATTCCAGCCGTCAAGTTCCACTACGAACCCGCCCCCATGCAGGTCAACCCCAGAAGTCAACGCCCAAGACTCTTCAGCCCACAAAGACTCATCCAATGTTCTTTCCCGTGTACAGGTCTTGGTGACTGAGGTCCCAAAGTCTCTGTCCCATTTCGTCACCAATTTATGTGCGATCATCGGCGGAGTCTTCACGGTCTGCCCCAGAAACCGCCCGTTTTTCCCCCGTGGATCTCTGGTCGTTGACTTTTCTGAAGATTTCCTGTTTGTCCTCTACAGGTTGCTGGGATCCTGGATTCTATACTCCACAACACCATCAGGTTGATGAAGAAGGTTGAGCTGGGTAAGCATATTTGATCTCTTGGCTTCAGGAAAAGATAGGGTAGGATTTTTAACGCCCCAAAAGCGATGGAAAATTAGAAAAAAAAGAGATTAAATGGCTTCTAAATTCAATAAAAAAAGTAGGTATACATGAATCTTCATCTCTCTCTCTCTCTCTCTCTCTCTCTCTCTCTAGACTTGTATGGTTTCTCCATTGAGAGTTTTGGTGTTTAGCCCATGAAAGGTAGCTGAATGATGAAGATCTCCCTGCGCATATGCTTCTTGGTCATTCAGTCCTCTGCAACTTGTCATTCATGTGGATTTAGTCTCTTTCTAGCTCCGGGTCTGTTTAGAAACAGTCGTCAAAGGGACAGAAACTCACTCTATAATATCAGGAGAGAGAGAGAGAGAGATAGCTTAGTAATGTTAGAATATGAATTGAGCCTTTTATTTCATCTTCTTATTTCACAAAAATCGGGCCAAATGAATACGTCAGCCTAGAGAGAGAGAGAGACTGGTGGAGCCGGCAAGCACTGTTTATTTAAGAAACCCCATGCAAACTCAGACAACTCGGAAGCTCACGATTTTAAAGGAAGGCGGCGGTGGAGACGACGAGGACGACGAAGAAACCCGCCGCCGTCGTCGCCGTCGCCACTCCGTTCGGCGACGCCAGACCTTCCGGTGGCGAGGTGGTCGGCACGATCTCGATAGCCGGCGGCGCCGGTGGCGGTGGACTCGCCGGCGTCTCCGACGGCGGCGGCGATGGCGTCGTCGCCGGCTCCGGCGCCGGAGTCCCCGATGCCGGCGGTGGCGTGGAAGGTGGCGTGGAAGGTGGCGCCGCCGTCGGAGACGACCGGTTGCTCCGGTCGGCCAGGACGATGACCACCATCTTTTCCCCCTTCCTGCAGTTGTCCCCCGCCCCGCTTATGAAGAAGAAGGGTCCCGACCGGTCGAAGGTGAAGACGGTGTTGCCGTCGGCGCCAAGGCTCGCCGCCGGCGGGCTCGCCGTGTCGCAGCCGTCGAAGCCCTCCTTGGTCACCAGCAGCACCGAGTCTCTCCCAGCGGGATACGCGAACACTGCGAAGTCAACGTCAATATGGGGGCTAAAAAGTCAACTGCAAGATCGAGTGACGAGCTTACGGAGAGAGTCTCCGATCTTGAACCGGTTCCTCTCCGCCCACTGGTTGTAGGACTCGGCGTCGCCGGCGGGGACGCGCCACCCCATGGAGCCGCCGACCCTGAACTGCACCCCCGCCGCCGCCACCGGTGGCACCACCGTCGCCACCACCACCGCCATCAGCAGAAGAGGTAGCGCCATTGACGCCGCCGCCGAGCTCCTCCCACCGGTGCCTGCCATGGCGGAACCCTGGAAGTGGAGGCGCCGGAAGAAGGGATGAGCTTGGCGGAGATTGGCGGGGCTTTTGTAAGGGGGCGCCATGGAAGGGGGATCGGGAAGCTTGGGGGGACTGCCATTGGCTTTTCGGGGTGGGTGGATTGGGGAGCAGTGCAAAGCATTTCTAGTAGACCCTCCGGCGCCGGCGAGAGGGGGCTCACCGGCGGCGCTTTCCAGCTGCAGGCACCGCCTTTCCCTCGTCGGGGTACGTGGTTTGTGGCTTTCTTCGTCTGCATGGAATATTCATCGCTTGTTTCTGGGGTTATACATAGAATATCTACATATTGAGAGAGAGGGAGAGAGAGAGAGAGAGAGAGAGAGAGAGAGGGGGAGAGGGAGAGGGAGGTTAAACTGCACAGTTCTAAGGTCGAATGAAGAAATCAGTGGACAGTGGGAAGCAGGAATTTTTGTCGATAACGATGTAGCTAGAATCATCTTCTTTATCTGATATTGAAGGCGAACAGCTGTAGCCTTCCATAGCCCTTCTTTCTTCGATCTCTAAGGTCTGTGAAGCACTTCTTGCATACGAACAGGTGTAAGGCCCACACCACCCGGAGCATGTTCTCTCTCTCTCTCTCTCTCTCTCTCTCTCTCTCTCTCTCTCTTTCTCTCTCTCTCTAGGTTTAGGCCTGGTCTATCAAGTGTGGCCATAGACTTCATATAGGACAGACCCATCCCGGAGCAAATGCTCAGATCATATGCGAGAGATTTAGGGGAGAGAGAGAGAGAGGAGAGGAGGGGGGGGCTCTCAGGTGAGGAACCAGACGTTGACGCTTCTATTGCAGGGAAGCGAAAGGGCTGCTGGACTTCCCATAAGGCGTAAAAAAAGGGTCTTTTTCTTTACTGCCCGGGCCGGGCTTCTTGCTTATCCGGCCCATTAAGTTCTTCAATCAATTAACTTGCTCTGATATTGGGCTTCCGCCCAGGCCCAAAATAAATCCCCACGAGCCCGGCACTGAAGCCCATCCGGCAGGAAATAGAGGAGCAGGGGTTACTATTTATGTCATGGTGTAATCAGCCTGATAGAGGAGGTGGTCCCTGATCCGATCTTGAGCACATGCACCGCCCTCCCACCACCATCTCTGTCGTCACCACCACCATTCATCATTCGAGCACTGCCACCACCAACCACTTAATTAGGAAAGATGGTGATAATTAGTATAATTATCATATTTTAGGGTTTTCAATTATATATTTTTATATCCCAATCAGATAATTTTTATGATGATGACGATGATAATAATATAATATTTTATTTATTTATTGGGCCCAGGTTATGCAATTTTTAAATAAATAAATAAATATATTTCTAAGGACCCCAATAATAAAATAATATGGACTTAAATTAGGAAGAAATTATTGTAAGTTGTCTAAAATAGTGCTTCCAATTAACTAAAATATTAAATGAATAAGTATTTTCTGCAATAAAATACAGCTAAAATTAAATAGTGCAAGTAGAGAAGATGAGTATATATAAATATAAAAACAGATTGGTTGTTGCATTTATTTCAATAAATTCCTCTCAATGGATAATTTTTTTATATAAAATTATCCATATCATGGAACATGTTAAACTAGTGGAGAAATAATAATTGAGATTGTTTGAACATTGGGGGATCAATTTTTTTATGACCCTCCAAGGCTAATATTTGACCTTTTTTAATTAATTCCAATTTATATTTCATATTTCCATAAAAATCTATTTTTTTTATATTGTCAACAAAAAATATGTAATTTTTTTATTTTAATTCAAAATGCAATCGAGATGGTCACATCATTATACATAATCTGTTGTAATTACTATGCAGTTAAGTGATATTCTAGTGAATCACATCAATATCGGTGGTCAGTGGACTTAGATAATTGTGCACCCATAAATAGTAAGTTTGTACAAAAGGTCAACGTGTGATTAGAAAACTTGACTAAAAAAGTCAAGAAACAATTTCCTAATTAGGGAATGGAGATCTTTTTTTTCTGAGAAGTCAAAACTTTGGATTATTGATGACTTGGCCTTTTCATACATGAAGATAATATGATCTTGTCAGAGTATTGGATAGCCAGAAATACTGTTGGGCTAAGAGAAATTTCCGGTCAACGGTCCTTTTAGATGTCTGACGTGTATCCAGGAAGAGGTGTGGGCCTGGGAGGGGAAAGTCAGACTGGGCCCACCATTCCAACTATCGTTTCCTTTTTTTTTTATAATAGTATTCCTGCGTGACGACAAAATAGACCAACGGTTTCGTTTTCCAGTGCCTCACCGGAACAGAGGAGCGTTGACGGGGACGATCTTCCGATCCAACGGCCAGACCCGCTTCAGAGTTTTTATGATGAGACAAGGTCCGTCAGATCAGTGAGATCAACCGAGGGACCATCTCGATTGGGGACTGACATGGGGCCCACGTCCTGGAGAAGACACCCAGTCAGAACGACCGCTTCCCACGCGGGGTTGTCGTCAAGACAACGTCCGGGGACGCGGCCCAGGAGGGTCTCTCTCTCTCTCTCTCTCTCTCTCTCTCTCGCTCACTCTGATCTCCCCTCCGTGCAGCTGCCACCGCCCGCTTGCAATCGGCCCCCCATTGACGGGAGCGGCTGAATCTAGGGGGCGAAGGCGGTGCACGGAGGAGATTGAGGTCCGGAGGGTTAAGCAGGGTTCCTGGCGCCGTTGCGCGCGAGAATTGTGGTTTGATAAGGTTCCCTTGCTCGTTGATCGGTGGCCTTGGATTTGGAGTTGGTCGGCAATGTGGAGGGATACCGGAGTCTCCGCCGATGATTTCTACACCGTGCGGGCGGAATGCGAGGACGTCCCCAAGACCCGGTTTAAGATTAAGGTGGGAGGATAATTTTCCAGGCATTTTTCCTGTCTTTTGGAATTCTTCTGTAAGATCGCTCTTCGTGATTTTGATATCTGCTTCCGTGTTTATCTTGATTGCTGAACCTTTCTTGTCATGGAACTCCCGATATCTGCTTCCGTTCTTCGCGAGGGGCAGGAGGGGGGTTCTTGGTACGTTTGGAAGAAGAATATAACCGTCCGTATTTCTGTGATTGAGATATGTTTTAAATTTTTATTTCTTCATGCAAGGGGAAAAATTCGATCACTAAAATCTAGTATTATTTTGAATTATCGAAATGCAGTTTATCATCCGCTCAAACCGCCGCCTCGTGTGCTCACATGATCGCATACTATTTTATAAACTAATTTTTTTTCTTTGATTACTTATGCCAATAAGAATTATGTCCTGGAATTTGACCATTTATATGCTTTTTGAGAAACATTCGGACGTATCGATGGTACGTAGATCGTTTATATTTATCTGTAGACATGTCATGCAAACGTGTCCTTGTTGTTGACCCTCCCTGTACATAGTAAGTTTCCACTGAGGTAAGGAATTGCATGTCTTATGTGCCACTTTCTACTTGTAGCACTAATATTGTTCTGGTTTTTTATTTAGGCTGGGAAAACTCTAAGTGCCCGGAGGTGGCATGCTGCATTTAGTCCCGAAGGATACTTGGACATTGGAAAGACACTCACTCGTATACAACGAGGGGTGAGTGCATTTTCTCTATGAATCTTCTAGTTTCAATATAAATCATCAACTAGTTGAATATTCAGTTCATACCACGAAATTTTTTATGAAAATTGCAATCATTCTTCGCTTAACTGTGTTGGGTCATTTATGATTCATTATCATTGAAGCTTATGATCCAGGGTATATACTTTGAGTGATTTTCCTGTCTCCACATGAAGTATCCTATGCTTTGCAAAAGCTAAGGGAATGGGGAGCATTTGGTCCTAATAAGAAGCAGGCAGAAGCATTTAGTCCATGTAATGATTTCTGTGAATGAACATAGGGAGATGCACAGTAGATATATTGCATTCTTTTTTTACCTAAGTTTGTTTTAATAGCCCAGAAGAAGCAATAGCTGATTTTGGATCCCTTGGCTCATTATTTTTTTTTCTTTGACTTCTTTATTATATATTTTTACGTATGTCTTAGTGCAATCGCTGATGCCAAACACTGATGAGATTTTTTATGGGCGATGTTAATTTTGCCAAGCATATAATTAACGAATATTTTAATGCTAAAATCGTCCAATTAGGGTATTCATCCGTTGATAAGAGGGGAAGTTTGGGAGTTCTTGCTTGGTTGCTATGATCCTATGAGCACCTTTGATGAGAGAGATCAACTAAGACAACATAGGAGGTAATCCTCTTTTTTCCCTATCTAACTTTCTTAGAACATTCTGAAACTGCTATATGTTGATCTATTTTGGTTGCATCTTCTCTCTGAGTAATTGCCAAATAATGTAGAGGGCTAGATGTTAGAAGTTGAATTCTGTTTATGTTTTCTTCGTATGGGTGAATTTTATGGCCTTGGTAATTGCCACTTACTGAAACCATTGACCAAATTTGTCTAGGTGTTAAGATACGAATCAACTCATGCCTGTCTACATGGATATACACCCATTTCTTTCTGTCTTCCTGTCTCCAGTGAATCCTTGAAATCTTTTCTCCTTCTTTAGTAATATGCTAACTGATACATCTGGAACGCACTCCGATAAATAATAATATATTCTCAAACTGTTTCGAGAAGCACTGTTTTTAGTTAGGTGCAAAATACAATGTTTCCCTCATATTCCTGCGTATTTTCAGATCTTACTGATTATTGTGCCCACCCTCACATATACATGTTAAACCATACTTTTTGCCTGAATATTCTGGTTTTTCTCATGTCAGCCAATAAGAGTCAGAAAAGAGACTAGAGCTCCTGATTTGTGATGGTCCTGGTTCACCTTTTCCCATGTAGACAGCAATATGCCAGGTGGAAGGAAGAATGCCGGGATATGGATTCTGCTGTTGGAAGTGGACGCATTATCACGGCACCAATAATTACGGAGGATGGTGTACCTATTCAGGATCCAATAGTGCTCTTGGAAGCTAACACTAAAAACGGAGTTCCTGGAATTCTGGGATCTCAGAACACTGAAGAAGTTCAAGAGCTTCTGGTGGGTGATAGAGAGAGTAATTCAAGACTGGAAACCCCTATTGGAATTGGAAAGGAACCAAAAGTTAACGCTCCTTTGGACAAGAAAGTAATACAGTGGAAACTTACCCTGCATCAAATTGGTAAGTAATCAAGTCATGAGAGAATTCCTTTCCTGCTCGTTGCATTTTTTTTTAATATGGATGGCTTCAAGTTTTTGTTCTGGATCCATTAGAAACCCTCTTCAAATGGTTCTTATTCTCTTTTTTTTTCTTTTCTATTGACTTGTCAATGTTTATGTAAAAAATTATTCTATTATTTTTAGCTTCTACATTTGAATTAGTGCGACTGCTTTTGATTCTTGATATTTTCGGAGGTGGGCTGAGGTATAAACATGACTGATTGTCAATTTTCATTTGTTCATAATCACCCAATCAGCGTTTCCCTTTATTGCCCTACTAACAGATGTTACATAATTCAAAGATAACTCGAGTTTCAGATCTTGACTTTTATGTTGTAAAAGTTGTGTTCAATGAGTTTCAACCATTAGTTCCATGGAGCAACAAGGTTTGTTACTAATCAATGATAAATCTTTTAGGGCTTGATGTGGTTCGGACTGACAGGACACTAGTATTCTATGAAAAGCAACAAAATCTGTCAAAGCTGTGGGATATTCTTGCTGTTTACGCCTGGATAGATAAAGACGTTGGGTATTGTCAAGGTATGTTATCACATATAAATGTTCTATGAGCTTCAACAACATTATCTTTCAGATACATGGTTGAAGTTTTATCCTTAACTTCCACTCGTGCTGTTTGCTTGTGCTATGGTTGTTCAAATTGAAACATATTTCTTCATTGAAAATTAAATATTTTGATATATCTCTTTCTGTCATCTTCTACTGCAAGAAATTAAGTAATTGTTTGGATTTGAACAGGAATGAGTGATCTTTGTTCCCCGATGATAGTGCTACTTGATGATGAAGCAGATGCATTTTGGTGCTTTGAGCGTCTGATGCGCAGATTGGTAGACATCTTGACAACATCCATGCCACAGAGCTTGTTGAAATTCTTTTGATTTTTTTTGTCTACTTTCGTTTTTACAAGGAATCTAATAATGAACCTGATATTAAATTTAGGATACTTTACATCTTGAATGCTGGTGTCTGTGATGATTGTTTTTTATTTAATGAAGTCATTTGGTTATATTATCAGCATCACTGACACGAGCTGTTGCTTTACCTCTTTATTTCACTTTATTTCTCAGTATGAATGGCATTCATATCACAATTAAGTTTTTTGGTCCTTATTTTGGATCACTTTTACTTCGTGCTAAAATATTTGTGCCTTTTGTATTAGGTTAAATTTGCCACTTTTGAACATGAATTTTCTGTGATCGTTTTCAGGTTTTAGTTTTTTCTTTTGGAATGTTGTTGTCTTTTCTGGAGGGAAAAATAAGACTTTGGAACCATGAGCAATTATTTTAGCATAAATTTATAGTTAGAAACAGTTAGAGGTCAAGTTCTGCTGTATTGTTTTTACTCTGTAAATTATGGTTCAGAAATGCGTAATTTATACACTTTGACTTTTTAAATTTCCTCGCTTACCGGTTTCACTAGATGTGCAATGATGTCAAACACCATGGGCTAGGCATCCTTTCACTAGATCTAAAGACTATTTTGTCCCAGAGAAGGCTTTCCCATAGGAGCTGAATATTTTTAGTATTTTGATGAACCGAGATATGCAGCCTTGTCTGTATTTCCTTGGCAAAAGGAAAACAAAGGAAAAAGAAGGCAATGGCTTTTGTATAATTTCCTATGACTTGTCCTTCACAGTTGTTAAAATTCTGTGATACATAATCTACGATTTTTTGATAATTTTTTCTGTAAATTTTGAAATGAACTATTAGTTTGTATTCTTTATTTCTTTTCTGGTTTCTTATAATGTTTATTGTCATTTGAAAATTTAAAGCGCGGAAATTTTAGATGCACAGAGAGATCTGTTGGGGTGGAGAACCAACTTCAGAGTCTAGCATCGGTCACTCAAGTCATTGATCCAAAGCTTCATCAACATCTAGGTGGGTAGATCTTGTGTTTATGTACGTGATAACAGGATCTCCGATTAATTTTTCATATTCATTTTATTTTTTATTTTATATATGAAGATACTGATTTACTATAATTCTGTGCTGCAAGTATAGTTTTATTTACTATAATTATATTTCATCAAGGAGGACATTTTACTCTGTCAAGTTTTATTTATTCAGCCAAAACATGGGCACACATGAAGCTTGTCCTTGTAAGATTTTTCACCCCTTAGTGACTGTGCCGCTACTGGAGGTGGCAAGAACAAGTATAGTGTTGCATGATGGTGGCTCTTCTATTTTCCTCTTTGAGATGCCGTTTATGTTTTTAGTTCATGTATTCTCTCATGATTTCACAACATGAAATTGACGGGAAAGCTTTAACTGATACTAGGATAGCAACTGTGATAGTTGTAGATGATGATAGACAGATGCCATAAATCACAGAGGTTGTGGGTTGAGATCGATTTCCTTCATTGATGAGTTTTTATGCCTTCATTGATGAGGAAATGAAAATTGGAGAAAATGCAAACTTGTTCATGTCTAAGTGATGGACAAATCGTCTCACCGATTTTTTCAGCTACTCTCAAGAGCAATAAAAAAGAGGAAGACAATCCCTGAGATGAGGATTAGATCCTTTTGGAAAGATACTTGCCGGGTATGTTCTTTGACAGAAGCTTAATGGGTTGGGTGAAAAGCATACGATGATTGAAGTAACTGATAATGAGGTAATCCAAGTCAAATTTCATGGGTATAAGTGAGTTTTTACAATTGAGTTTTCATGGGAATAAACTGTCCAGACTTCCATATTAGGGAAAACTAAAGCTGGAGGTTCTTGATGGTGCTTTAATTTAAGTTGTGGAAAGATACTTTTTGGATTGGCATTGGGAATCCGTTGGGGAGAAGGAATAATACGAACTCTATCTTTAAATTGATGGAGGCATGTGAAACTTAGATATCACGTAGCTTCATACAGAAGTGTATGGTTAAATATAAAAATAAAAGTGGACCAGGGAAGCAGGAGACTATGTACTCCATCCATCAACAATGTTATGATAAATTCAATGAGTCTAGAAATTGATGTTATTGAATTGGAAAAACATTTTTCAAATTTTCTAAAACTAATGAAATTTTCAGGCAGCTATGCAAGTTAGAGATGCTGAGAATATCATTTTATTGTTGCTTCTGAGGATAGGTGTAGCCAACTGATGATAGATTACGAGGATATTCACACGAAATGTATCTACCAGTTTTTTTTTTAACACAATTATGATAGAAATCTGCAAGACGCAATGTAATTTCGTCATATTTTACTCTTCTTTTGAAAGAATCTTGCGTTGATTCCAGAAAATACCATAGGTCTGTAAATATCCGAACAACCGTTATCAATGTTAGGGTCTCCTCTACAACACTGATGAGGAATGTGGTCCTAGAAAATATTACGAGAACCAGCCGATGTCTGCATTTGTGTATGATTTTTTATGCTTGTGTGAGTTCTTACTTCTTATTGAAAATGTTTTTTTCTGTTAAATATGTAAATTACTTAATGCTAAAAAGAATGGTCTCACCACCATTGGATTCTCCTTTCCCTTTAATGGAAATTACAAGGTACTTTCCTAGTCCAAATAGATGATTTAACAGCAGAACACTTTGCTTAAATGTGAGACTGTACAGTGTCAGTCATTTTAAATGCCTAAGAACTGCAGGGAATCGTTCTCCATTTTTATTCTGCTTTCATTTGAAAATTTCTGGATGCCCTATAAATTAGATTTCCAAAATATTGCATTTTAATTAGAAAAAAGAAAATGCGATTATGAGCTAGAACGAGAGATGGAATATATATCTATTGTGTAAACTTAGGATACGACTAGCTGTACCTTTTCGTTCCTTAACATTTTGACTTAATTTGCATGAGCTTTGAACTCTATTGCCTGATAAGGAATGTAATTGGAATTATCCTTATCTACAGAGGCGCTTGGTGGAGGTGATTATCTCTTTGCTTTCCGAATGCTAATGGTACTCTTCCGTCGGGAGTTCTCCTTTGGAGATTCTTTGTTCCTGTGGGAGGTAATCATCCTATGGAGTGAAAATAGATTTTGCTGCTGCATTTCTCTGTCGGTTGTTTTTATTTGTGTCTTGGTATGATAATGTATTGTCAAGACTCAATCTTTGACGCAGCTGCCTTCAAGACAAGCTTAGTCATATATATCACCGTATTTTTTTCATTGAAGAGGATATTTTCCTAGTTACTTGAAAATCATAGGCTTATCTGAATATTTTCTCACAGAAAGATTGAGAAGTGATTCAAGTAAATAATGAATTACCCATCCAAATCATGTGGTTCGGACCTTCCAGAGGATTTAATCTATGCTTCTCAGGGAAATATCATATATATGTTTGTGAACTAAGAGGTGCAGTTTTCGTTCTTCTGAGTTTAGTCCCTTGGTTAAGTGTTAGAATAGATTTTTTGCTGAATCGTAAGTGTGAAGCTATTGGATGTTTTGATTTTATTTCCTTTTTCTGGCAAATGGTTAAATTTATGCGCTTATCCTTTGGGCTACTCTCAGTACTTGACTTCGAACTCGTGCATCACCCATCTTTCGAAAGAAATCTATTTCCATGGAGGATCTTGTCCACCTTATATATGTGCAGAAAGTTAAACAAACTGAAATTTTGCAAGCATGAAATTTGTTCAGTAATTATGGTATTTTTGTCTTCCATAAGCT